GATAGATTTAATGTAAAAATTTAACGTGCTCGATCTCATTTAATTTAAATATAGTCATATTTTTGTAGCAGCGGACACAGGTATTTAAAAACAGTTGTCTACGCCAGATACTTAATGTCCGTAGGCTGGACGCCATCAAAAACAACCTATGATGAAAAAGAAAAAACTAGCTTCCAACCGAATAGTAAATTAGAAAAAGACGTTGGTGGTGGATAGGAAATACAATGCGGAATTCATTAGCCTGCATCACGAGGCAGGACCTAACTTGGAATCTGTTTTTCTCTTGGTGAGAAAACACTTTCAATGATACTACAAAACTGACTATTTTTATTTATAGAAATTAAACGTTTTTTTCAGATTGAAAATACAACAGGGTTAGATTTTCATAGACGATTACAACTGGGTTCAAATCTTGCGAGTGAGGGATCGTGGATGCGCACTGCTGAGGAGTACCATAATAGGACGAAAGGGTCGTTCAGTGCTTCCTGATTTTCCATGGTGGTCTAGCTTCAATTGACTCATGATTTCAACTATGAAGATTACAACTGCGATTTTTCCAGGTTAAAAATAAAAAATAACTCATCAAAAAAAGGATAGATAAGGAAAGTTTTTTCAGGATTTAATGTTATCAATGCCTACATTGTTCATGCCATTCTGAATACCGGACAATGAATGAAGATATACTTTATCTACCAATCATCATTTGCATGATAACAATAAACAAATGGCCTTGTGTAACACTTTATAAGTAGGGAAATAATAATCCTAAACAGATGAAATCACGTGAGTAGTTTTATTTTTTTTAACAAGCACTTTTAGAACTATAACTTTATAGTATTTTGAAGGTAAGGGCTCCGTCTTTTTATAGTAAATAGATAAATAAATATGAAGTTAGCTTTCAATGGCTAAATCTGGGTGACTGTCTATAGCGACAAAATTTTATACACATATGTTTACAGAAACAATCTCTAAATTAATCACGGTGATCTGAATAGTGACAAGTCCTTAGTTAAAATGCGGATAACAAAGTATTTCATATGCAACGATTGAAAAAACCCAGGGAGTATTTACTGAACCACAAGAATATGCACATATAAACACTTTCCTCCATCCACAGAAATGTTTAAGTCAAAGTGATTTTATTCCGTAAAATAGACAACAGTTTGAGGACCAGGAAATGAATAACAACTGTTTTATGAACAATAACTACATCACTAAACGTCGGTATGTTTCAGTGTCAATTTAAGGTGAAATAATTGTTTTGTAATCTAAAATTTACCCTGAGGAATATATATATGTATATATAAGGAAGTATTCATCAAGTGCTTAGTAAATGAAAGTTTATAAGGTTAATATATATTCAATACTAGTTACCAGAATGTTTCATGAAGAGCCTAGTTTTGTACTAGTTTATTGGATCGTCTCACTGGCGTTTATGATTGCAATTGGTTTGTTCACTGCTGGCAACCATCAATCTCTGCTTATAAAGCTTGTGATTAAACGCAATATCGAAACATTTTGTGTAGGATGCACATATTCTAATAAGAAACTGATCAATTTCAGGCCTGAACACAGATTGGAAGTTTCAAACAACCATTAGAAAAACGAATTAGTCTTCACACAATTGCACAGGCTAGTGGATATCAGACTCAATAGCTAAGTGGATAACACAATGGTGTTGGAAATGAATGTTACTCAATTCGTGTGCTGGAGTGAATATCAACTCTAAGATGTAAGTACATTCAACCGGCCAGTCTGAAATAGAACGAAATGTGTGTTTTGTGTTCCATTGCTAGCCACCATCCATCTCTGATTATAAAGCTTCTCTGTTTGCTTCTATCCATCAATGTGATGCATCAAACTTTCAAGCTGTGCTGTGAGGACTCAGCAGACTACGATTTTACAAGCTCTGTTTTGTTATGTCGTAGAACTGGGGCACAGTAAAACAACCAATCGATTCAAATTCGTCAATATACTGACCATTAAATAGAGCCAAATAAACCTTTTCAATAACGATAAAACCCAAGAACTAATCTTTCGAGTTTATTAATCTAGTTTTTATCTACGCACAAAATAATAACAGTTTAATACTTTTTGAGCAAGTTAAATCAATTTACCGAAAGCCTTGACATCTTGTTGTGCTGACTAACATTTATGAATAACAAATATCTGAGACTTTTGGAACTATAAGACGTTTTATTGCAGTGCTAAAAGATAATTGGAGAGTACGTTTACAAGTTTTTCAATAATTTTCTATGAGTCGAACAAAAATCTGTCGAAGTGTGGTGTTTCTATGAGATAATAATCGTACATTAGACAATTGTATATCCTAATGATAATTACAATGCATTGCATATATTTCACTTCATGATCTTATGTCTTCAATAATTTATTTATTTGTAACGACTAGAGCACGTTCTAGATAGATTCGAGAATTCCGATATCATACATTATATACAACACTATTACCTGCCCTAAGTAAACCAGACAGTTAATAATAGCTAATTACTAAAATTTCAATTAAAAAAACTTTATTTAACGACTCATAACTTTAAAAAAGGAAAACTCCTTACTATCCAAATCCAACTTAACTTTTGTTATATTTATCACACCAAAAGCATGTTCGGTAGACTTTAGATGAAATCGTTTTAGTAAGTTTTCGGTAGTAAAACAATCATATAATTCTTTTCGAATGCTGTCCCCTTATATACCATATTTGAATTAATCTTAGGACATTTTAGGTATAAAATAATTTTACGAAACTGTTTACCGAGATTTAAGCACTTTACAACGATGTCTCACTTTTACTCGTTTTATACGGTAATTTTACAAGTGAGTATTTAACACAATTGTTGTGATAAATGCTACCAAAATTGTGTACCAACACAGGACTTGCTGTACAGAAAGTTAAGGTTCAGTTTACCAACGAAACAGCAATATTTTGTGTAAGATGTCATTTGTATTACATAAGACTATCTAAATACGTACTTCGCCAAAATGATTTTTGTAGAATAAAATAAGGTTTGCAAATGTGATAACTTTGTTGTTGGATTATGGAATCAATAACATTATTGTAGAAATGGGTATTAGCCTAAGGTTGGACAGTCTAGAATAAGGTGAAGAGAATGAAATATCAACTCAACTGGTGCACTATAAGATGGTCATCTCCGACCATGCTGAAGGGTTTAACAGATGCTGTAACAGGTGACTATCTCCCAACAGCTCTGAGACAGACATTTCTAAAGTAAAGCTACTGATAATTTTATTGTCAATGAAATAAACATATATTAGAGGTGCACTATCGTCATAAAAATAGAAAACGTTCACCCATAGTCACGCATTAGTCACAGTCTTCATTAAGAGGCTCAAAGCCCCATTAAAAATTTTATTTTCTAATTTGTCCCACTATTTGAAATATACAGAAGATAAAAGCCAAAGCCTTCTCAATAAAGAAATCGTGGTCAAAAGTTAACTGAATTGCTTATTTGTAACAACTAAATGAATAACTTTCAAATAATGCTTCCTTACATCCAAACCAAGAACGCCCATATTGCTGAAGATTGTGGATACCTCAATCACACACAGAGCGTCATGCATATCATACTGATATTTCTAGTCCACAAGATAAGTTGTGCAAAATCAGAGTGTCTTTAAGAAAGTCGCGTTTTGCTTTTGTAACTGTTACAAAAACGTAGTCTGTTTCAGAACTCGATATAAAGTCAGAGACAACAATAAAGAATCATTTGGGTGGTAATTTAGCTAGAATCTTTAAAAGTTGCGAAGTGGCACAAAGAGGTAAAAACCTACAACTACGACCTTGTAGGTTAGGGGGGTACGAAAATAAAGTAGATAAAACAGTCGAGAGTATAAATAAGCTCGGTCAAAAACTACTGGTTAAAAGTAAAGCAGGCCGTATGTCAATCTATTAGGGAGTTGGATTTCGTCCTGAATGCAATAAGAATGGATCCAACGTCAATAACACCTTATACTAAAGAATTTTGTTAAATTTCAAGGCCAATTATAAATATTATCAGAGGGACTGAGTAATACTGTGGGGGCAGTGAAATGTCACCGAGCGCTAGGCAAATCATCCAGCAGTTGGGTCACTGAATATCTAATAGATCATCGATCGCCGTCAAAGTCAAGGACAGCCAACGCTCATTGGTTAATCGTATACTATGGACTGCCGCATGCAGCTGTGGCCTCGCTTTCTTCTATGTTCTTATTCTTACCAATATATTTCCATAATAACGTCCCTTGTGTTATACGGTCTTTGAAGCAGCCATAGTACTTTAATAAGTTGAAGGGGTAATCCACGTTAGATGCTGACCACGAGGTGTGACTTCGAAATTAGCTGATTTGTCACACTGTTCCCGTCTAACTCGAGTAGGCCTTCAATCATGCGACAGAGATCACCAACATTAATGGTCTACAATACATTAGACGTAGATCAACCAGCTTCATGATAAATCGCCTCTTCATGCGAGATGTGGCTAGTGATACAGATCGCCGTTACAGGGAACAATATTCTTTGTTTGATTTTGCGAACTTTAAATAATTATGATATAAATGGTCAAACGACCGGAACACCCTATCCGAACAAGTTGTACCATGCTTATCGGTGAATACTTTAGACAAATAGAGAACTTTAAAAAAATAGATGCTTTAATGATGAAATAAAAACATCTTGATCACTATCCTTACATTTAAGAACATAATAAAACCTACGATGACTCACAACGTAAAAGCGTTTATGTGAAGCGCACTTCACTAGCTACCAAAACCTTTTTATTACTCTGACATCATGAAAAACATATGAAGTCATCCGCTGATTTTATTCACGCTGTTCTACCGAAAATGAGCCAAGACATTCAGTTTTTATTTAATCATGGACACGTCTCATATTGCACTTAAGTATTCTCAAGCCAGAAACAACTTGCATGACTCATTCTCCAAATATCAATTAATGAGTGAAATAAAATACGCTTGATCATACTCACTTTTAAAAATCGTATCATACTCAATCATCAGATTTATCTGTTACAGTTGCTTCACTCTTGACACAGTAACAAATAACCTTTCATTTAAATTATGTGCTTAAAAAGAATGCGTAATTAGTTTATTAAAACCAAGTACTTCGAAGTCTGATATATAAAATGGAAAAAGGCATGGAGTTATTCATGAATACCATTAAGCATCGAATAAAATTATTCATGGTCTTATATTCACTGCGAGAAAAATCCGTAAAAGTACAAGAGCCTAAAGATGTCAAAAATTTGTAGAATTTAATAACCCTTTTGTTCTTAACAACTTGGTAGTCAAAAGATATCGTTCCAGTCAGAAATGAAGGAGTCTAAAGGTATGTTTGAAAGTTATCGACATGTTGAGAAGCTTTTGATTCAAGCTGGCTTGTCGTTGTTAGGGTTGCGTAGCTCGGCGTCCCCAATCATGAATTTGTCCGGATGCGTGACCAACAGCCTTTAGCTAGAGTTTGTCCAGCCTTTTGAATTTGACAGTTTTTTATTTGTGACCGCATATATGAACCGTAGCTTACAATATTCGACTTTGATGACTTAAAATATACGTTTCTGAAGAACAACAGCAGTCATGTCCTAAAAGGCTTACCAAAAGTAATGCGATTGCTCCGATACTTTTGAACGGTTGAGTGCGTTTTTGTAAAGTCTCTTCTCAAAGTATCCACTAAGGTGGTTGTTATCTTTTAATCGAGGTGAATGTTTTTCGGGGAAATGTGAGAGCGTAACTGGTTGTTTTTTCTTCGAGGCGTAGTCCTTCGACAATTGCCTCGACGAACAATTATCGTGCCACTTTCAAATCTCCTGAAGCACAGAGAGAGTAATCTCAGGTGCTGAGATCTGTCAAAGTGAGATTTATGTTGCAAACTTATCGCCCACTCGATTCCCCCTTTCTGTACTCAATCCATGAGATTTATTTTTCTTTTCAAACCTGGGGGTTCAACAACATTTTGAGCTTCATGGTGGGGCTGTGCTCAGGTTCGGAAAATAGTTAGAGAAAACTGTGTAGTGATACACGAATTCTGTCTTTACATGAAATAAAGAGTTGCACTTGCCATGGTTTAAAATCCTGTGCAATTGAAGCTGACATCTGGTTTCTCTATAGTTAGAAGCTCAAGATCGTTCTAAAAGGAGACAATTATCAGCGGATTTCCATGTGAATTGTCAGATGATTCAGAATGTTCATTAAATGACGTTTCAACATCTAATGTTGTAACCTGTTATCTACTGCTCATTCATCCACTGTTGTAAAGTCGTTTTGGAGAACAAGCATATTCTTTTGAATTTTATGAACCGTCAGATCATTGCATCGTCTTCCAAGATCTGTGTGGCCAAGTTCATTTTATCTAACAGATCGACAATAAAGATTAAAGACGGGAATGGGACCAAGATTTTTTCCGGTAAATTCCCGATATTGTAACCTACTAACAAGCGTGCACGCTATTGACCTTCTCAAAAAACACTGTTTTGTAAGTAATTTCGCAGCTAGGATAGAAGTGGTTCTGTGATACTAATCATTGTAATGTAGTGTGGGTTACTTATGTCTACATAGGTCGTGTGTAACGATGGTCAGGCATAGAATGTATTTCATCAGAAGATCAGTAGGGAGATAAAGGAAACGAAACGCATTTGATATGAAAATGCATGAACAATGAAATCTGAGACAATTAACTGATATTTGGAAAAGCAACAGTCAAGTTCGAGACCATAGATTGTTATTTTGCAAATTAACTATTCACTATATGGCTTTCAGATTTTAGTGAGATATTCTGTAATGTTGTGCTCAAATACATTCGATTGTCTCCACTCGTGTTCTTGTTCATTACAGCATTTGTCCCACTGATTTTTATCAAAAGCTGGCCTATTTTCTAATAAGCTACCATCCAACAGTGGAACAGTAAAAAAATCAGAGGGTTTGATGTAAAGTTTTTGTACCTCGTCTTCAGAGCTTTGGTAACTATACTGTTCCACTTCCTCACTCAACGCTCACCCACTGCCTCTTACTGTTATCAGATACTGGGGTATTTGTAGCAGTAGGTAATTTCATTGGTGTATAGGATCGCGTTTGCACGTCACAGCCGCGTGCATGGTTAGGCCTATGTTCTGCGATTTTGGTATACCGGTGGCGACAGTAACAGTTAGTTCGGATCTGGTTTCATGCTTCTCTTAAGTTAGTTTCATCGGTGTATTTTCTTAACACTGTGACAATGGTGCCAGAATCATGGAAAGGAGCGACAAAGCATGAACCCGTAATACTTCATAGACTCAGCAGTATCATAGTGACAATGAACCAAGCCATTGCAAAAATCACATTCAAATGCTTAGCTCCTAGCTCTGGCAGGAGACGAGCAGTTGCCGCCCATGTGCTGTTCCAGCCTCACGGCAGTCGGCGACACAGGCAGTTTGGGATGTCATCTTACTTAAATTCTTTTTTTGGTCACTAGTCTTGCTAGAAGTAGAGGCTTGTTGAGAAGTACGGTCCTAACTACGTGGTGATAAATTCATCTTCGTTGTTTGATTTAAGTAACACTTATTGCGCACATTATTAGAAGATATTTTTTCAAATATCTCCTTGAGATTTAATATGATATTGTCGCTAGGAACGGGGATTTCAGACATGTTATCAACCTCAGAATTAAGACCATCCACTCTTCTGATAGACCTTGCAGTTACAGTGTAAACTTTGGTGGCAACGTTATTACTCTGCATGCTATTCAACGGATTGAAAAGTACAATGTGATTAAAGTAAGTAGTAAGTACTCTATACAAAATTTTATAAGGAGAAAAATAATTGAGATGGGTGAAAATATGCTACACAAGAATATAAGCTGATCTATAACTAAAATTTCAGCTTTCCGTTTGACCGTTTCGCAAGCAAAGTAGTGTGGACCCCATAACTTATCCGTATATCTTTTAGCTGCAAGAAAATTGATGTGTGTATATCACAGTTGGACCAGTCAAGAAAAGAGCTGTTGATCGATACAACTAAACTTATGACACAGGTTTTCAACCTTCGTATGACTGTGGATGTCGTATTTGTTATCGTGGTTGTCTAAAGGTAGGGTGAATACTCAGTGTATGTACTTGGAATCGTTTAAATATTCCAATATTGCGTCGGATATTTCCGGTTATTGTTAAGAGATTAATGAGGTCACATCACCCCAGTAAAACGCGCAGATTCCCTGTGCTGTGCAATATCTTGGTTTCTTTGAAGGCTACATTAGATACACCTGAAATAACTATGATCTGAGCTCTATGGTTCAGTCGTGCAGGTGTGGTCATTTTAGAAATCGTTCCTTACATATAATAGATTATATGACAATAAGTAGTATTCGCCATGGTGAGACTTTGATGTAAGACTCGTATTTTTCACCCAATGTTGTCTTCGCTATTTCGCCAAGTCGCCCTATCAAATGCAGTTTCAGTTGCCTAAGAACAGACCTGATAGCTGGCATTACATAACAACAAAAGTGGAATAAATGAATGAACACTGTTGATAAAGGAATGTAAATTATTGAGGAATTCATGTTACTATTAGCTTTTGGGAATCATTAAACATTTGTCTCGTTTTTCTCACTAAATTTCCTTAAACTGGAGCCTGTTACAGTTCTTCATACACCACTTTTAGCTCTAATGGTTTATCTGAAGTTCTTTAATCGATACTATAGTGTTCAGCTTGTTTACATACACACACATTAACCTGTCTCGTTAGAAAGGCTTATTGTTATTGTTCTCAGCCCCACACATATAACACTCATTGGTGAAATTTGTGACTGGTGGGTGTTCGACAAAGTTGCAGTTCGTACGACGTAGCACTTTTAAATAGATTATGATAACTGTGAACTCACCGTACTGTTCCAATCCACAAACCTATATATTCACTTGTTGATTAATCTGCATGAATATATAGTATTATAGGATCGTATCCACACAACCAAGAAAGATGAGCATATGACTACTGAAAAGTTCTATATTCAACAATGAACACAAAGTGAGGATTAGCAATCGGGGACGCGGTAATATTTGATTCAATTCAATCAGGTGTCATGGCTCAGCCTTGCAGGCGTGGCCATTGTGTATAACTTGTATTTACCTACATTAAATATGTCATTCTATCTTTAACCTAAATGTGTTCTTCAGAAAATCCAGACATCGTGTTGTTATGATAAGATGAGTCAGTGTAGAAAATGATTTGATTTCCACCTCAGATCTTATAGATTAGGCAGTCACACCATGACATATCTACAATTTTTGGATCAGATTTATTAATATAATTATACTGATGGCGAGGTAGACCATTATTCTACAAATATCCTACCAGAAGTTTCTATTATTCTTACTTATTCTCTTGGATAATATCCTGTATGTAAACCCATGTTCTAAATAGTTACTCATGTCTGTAAAAGTGACTTGAACTTGCTATTTGTTATGATTAGTCATGACGTTGTTCACAGTTCTATGTACTCAAATTTAACCTCTTGCTTTCATGTCACACTACGCATCAGCTTAACTTAGTAACTGATTGCAGTAAGCACTGTAACGTTTGCGATATTTTGATTTTGTATTTAAGCTTGTATGGCTCTTGTAAAATGTAGTTATATGGAAATAAACTACTGCAAATGATGATATGTATTAGCCAGTCACATATCAAGACCACAGTATCAGATTTGACTATTATTCTGGTAGCAGAGTTAAATGCACTAATAGTTACACTAATAGTTAGTTGTTGCGTTCATCAGTGCTAAATGCTGGTGAGATATTTTGATCAATAATCACTTGTCAGAACGCATTGAAGCCTAATAATACAATAATGGACATAAAGTAGTTTGATTCACACCTAATGAATGATCTGTCATGAGAATCTTGTGATATATATTGATAACTTATTTGCTCAAGTTCTTATTTGACTTCAAAAGCATGACAGGTTGAAATTCCTTGTTTCACTTGAATCCCTGTTTACTTCTAACACATCGATTGCGAGACATATTTAAGTAATAACACAGCGTAAGTCTATAACGCCCTAACCTCTTGATGAGTTTGTAATTGTTTAAATTAATTGAGCCGTTTATTTAACT